TTGGCTTGCAATGAGGTTTCAGAGGTTAAGGAAGTTTTTAGTGTTTTTGCCAATGAAATACTGCAGGTTACTTCCACACTGTCATTCTCTGAAGTTCTGCATGTGCATAACACTCAGAACGGCAGGCGGATGCGTATTAGGGACTTTAATTTGTGGCTTGGTGAATGGTGTCAGGAGCAAGGATTTGGCTTTATTTCTCATGGTAGCTCTGTTTGGAATGGAAATAACTAGTGATGTCCCGAACGGTTCGCTGGCGAATAGTTCCTGGCGAACATCGCTTGTTCGCGTTCGCCACAGATGGCGAACATATGCGCTGTTCGGCCCGCCCCTATTCGTCATCATTGAGTAAACTTTGACCCTGTACCTCACAGTCAGCAGACACATTCCAGCCAATCAGCAGCAGACCCTCCCTCCCAGTCCCTCCCACCTCCTGGACAGCATCCATTTTACATTCATTGTGAAGCTGCATTCTTAGTGAGAGGAGGGACAGTGTAGCTGCTGCTGATTTGATAGGGAAATTAATAGCTAAGCTAGTGTATTTAGTGTCCACTACAGTCCTGAAGGACTCATCTGATCTCTGCTGTAAGGACAGCACCCCAAAAAGCCCTTTTTAGGGCTAGAACATCAGTCTGCTTTTTTTTTTCTGTGTAATTTAATTGCAGTTGCCTGCCTGCCAGCCTGTGTGTCAGGCTCACAGCATATACTGTGCCCACTTGCCCAGTGCCACCACTCACTCACTGGTGTCCCAATAGCTTGCATTTAAAAAAAACTAAACTTTTTGGACTGTAATATAATAGCAGTCAGTTTCCTTCACGAGTGTGCGTTTCAGGGCCTGCCCAGTGCCACCACTCACTCACTGGTGTCCCAATAGCTTGCATTTAAAAAAAACAAAACTTTTTGACTGTAATATAATAGCAGTCAGTTTCCTTCACGAGTGTGCGTTTCAGGGCCTGCCCAGTGCCACCACTCACTCACTGGTGTCCCAATAGCTTGCATTTAAAAAAAAAAAACTTTTTGGACTGTAATATAATAGCAGTCAGTTTCCTTCACGAGTGTGCGTTTCAGGGCCTGCCCAGTGCCACCACTCACTCACTGGTGTCCCAATAGCTTGCATTTAAAAAAAACAAAACTTTTTGGGACTGTAATATAATAGCAGTCAGTTTCCTTCACTAGTGTGCGTTTCAGGGCCTGCCCAGTGCCACCACTCACTCACTGGTGTCACAATAGCTTGCATTTAAAAAAAACAAAACTTTTTGGACTGTAATATAATAGCAGTCAGTTTCCTTCACGAGTGTGCGTTTCAGGGCCTGCCCAGTGCCACCACTCACTCACTGGTGTCCCAATAGCTTGCATTTAAAAAAAACAAAAACTTTTTGGACTGTAATATAATAGCAGTCAGTTTCCTTCACGAGTGTGTGTTTCAGGGCCTGCCCAGTGCCACCACTCACTCACTGGTGTCCCAATAGCTTGCATTTAAAAAAAACAAAACTTTTTGGACTGTAATATAATAGCAGTCAGTTTCCTTCACGAGTGTGCGTTTCAGGGCCTGCCCAGTGCCACCACTCACTCACTGGTGTCCCAATAGCTTGCATTTAAAAAAACAAAACTTTTTGGACTGTAATATAATAGCAGTCAGTTTCCTTCACGCGTGTGCGTTTCAGGGCCTGCCAGGGCACAGTGTCACACCAGTGCAACTCATATCTGGTGTAACAGTAGTGTACATTTTAAAAAAATAAATAAAATTTTGACTGTAATAGATTGAATAGCAGTTAGTTGTCTGCCAGCGTGTATGTCAGGCTCACAGCGTATACTGTGCCCACTTGCCCAGTGCCACCACTCATATCCGGTGACACATTAGATTGCATGCGCAGTGCCCCAAATTTGAAGTAGGAGGACAGAACAAGCATCTTTTGCCATCTCCCGGTTCCTAAAATCTATGCCATATACACGTCCCCTGATAGGGGACGTAACAGGGATTAAACTGATAGGAATAGTACTACTTAACACACCTTATAAAAACTCAGAGAGGCAATGCAGAGAGAGGAGTCTGAAGAAGAGGAGTCAGAGGAGGAAGGCGGCTTTGAGGAGGTGGAAGACCAAACACAGCAGGCATCCCAGGGGGCTTGTTGTCACCTTTTGGGGACCCTTGGTGTTGTACGTGGCTGGGTGGAGGAAGAGACCTTCAATGACATCAGTGAGGACAAGGAACGGGACATAGCTAGCTTGTTATCCACCCTTGTGCAAATGGGGAGTTTGCGGTTGTGCAAATGGACTGTTTGCGGTTGTTTGCGGTGCGTTAAACAGGGAGTTTGGTCTGTCACTGTGAAACGGGCGTAACCCTTACACTACCTGATCGATACAACATCATACCTGATGTTTTAAAGCATGTTATTCCAAACAATTTAGGAATGTTAGGTGATTTATGCCCTTTATGGATTAAAACCAGACTCTGCATCAACTATGATAATAATAGTAAATGGATGAGACAGCGCTGATCAACTTAAGGCAGCAACCCTTAAAGGGGAATCCCTCAAAGTACCCTTAAAACAAGATAGATAAAAATGACAAATAAAAAGGGCTGCGCCACATAAAATTTAATAAAAAGGATGAAGTCCAAATAAAAGTCCAAATTGTGTATCCTTATGGATAGTCTTTCTGGGAGGCTGGTACAGTGGTAGATTCTTCAAATAAAATAGTGGGTCCTCTTATATAAAAGAAAGAAGAGAGGGACAACCAACAGTGCAGTATGTTTGGCTCAAATTTAGACGTAGTAAGAGATAATGATGGAAAACTCACATTTGCAAGAGCTTATATCCAGCTCTGGGGTAAAGCGCACACAGCAGTATAATCCCCACTTATGGGATGTATAGTGGTATATATCTTCATCAGTGGTGACCAATTCTCAAGAAGAAGAAACAACCAATAGTGCTCACTGTATAGCAATGTTGGTATAAATTAAATAAAAACATACTTACAAATAGAGAGCAGGCAGACTGCTCTATGATGTCAGCATAAGTGGATTAATCCCCACTTAGGATTTCTTGGAGTGCTGGAGTCTTCCAATTAGTTGATAAAACCAGAATTGGTTAAAATTATATAATAAAATAAAATAAAAAGCCAGAGTAAAAATAAAAAAGATAATGCATCTTGGACGTAAAAACCCAAGGGCAGAGTACAGAATATTTGATCGAGTCCTAACCTCAACATCTAAGGAAAGGGATTTAGGGGTGATTATTTCTGATGACTTAAAGGTAGGCAGACAATGTATTAGAGCAGCAGGAAATGCTAGTAGAATGCTTGGTTGTATAGGGAGAGGTATTAGCAGTAGAAAGAGGGAAGTGCTCATGCCATTGTACAGAACACTGGTGAGACCTCACTTGGAGTATTGTACACAGTACTGGAGACTGTATCTTCAGAAGGATATTGATACCTTAGAGAGAGTTCAGAGAAGGGCTACTAAACTGGTTCATGGATTGCAGGAAAGGTTAAAGGATCTTAACATGTATAGCTTGGAGGAAAGACGAGACAGGGGGGATATGATAAAAACATTTAAATACATAAAGGGAATCAACACAGTAAAGGAGGAGACTATATTTAAAAGAAGAAAAACTACCACAACAAGAGGACATAGTCTTACATTAGAGGGACAAAGGTTTAAAAATAATATCAGGAAGTATTACTTTACTGAGAGGGTAGTGGATGCATGGAATAGCCTTCCAGCTGAAGTGGTAGAGGTTAACACAGTAAAGGAGTTTAAGCATGCGTGGGATAGGCATAAGGCTATCCTAAATATAAGATAAGGCTAGGGACTAATGAAAGTATTTAGAAAATTGGGCAGACTAGATGAGCCGAATGGTTCTTATCTGCCGTCACATTCTATGTTTCTATGTTTCCTCTACTACCAGTACTATATACTGTTTTTAGCAAATGGAATTCTAAACTAAAACAGAGTATGGTAGATTGCTGCCATCTACTGGCTATTTTCAGTATGACAGCAAATACTTGTTGCATTGAAAATAGTATGCCAAATGCATTACTATTAGTGCTGGGCAACTGGTAAAGCCCAGCATCAATCAAAATGGCAATGGGGGTGTTCCAAGCACCAGATCCAGTGAGATAATTACCTTGGCTGCGCTTTATTCGATCAGTCTGAAAATAGATTTTCAGTGCTACATACACCTTAGCAACTTATCCATCTGTATAAGGGCCACTAAATGTGACCCACAAATGCTACTATTATTTTTTTTCCTTTCGTTACAGCAATAATCTGACACAAGTTAAAATGTCAGTATCCTCACCCTGTTTCTACACATTGAAGTTATATATTTTACACTGATTGGAAATAATTTTTTCCACTGGATTTCAACATTTTCAGATTGATGTAAAAGCAATTGAATAAGGAGTAACTGATGCTTATGAAATTCTGCTGATTTGGGAGAAACTTAGATCTGATCTCTGTACCTTGGCATCCTTTAAAGAAAAAGGACAATATACAGGGAGTATGAGCCTTCTACAAATTAAATAACTGGCCATTAACATTATTAGTGCAAGGCATCAGGGCATGCAGAGCCGAGAATTTTTATGGTTCTTATAGACATAATATTATTGCTTCCAGTTTCTAGAGAGTAAAGTGTTTGCTTGAAAACAAAAGTGGCAGAGAAAGACTATAAAAGATTCTTGGAATTAAGTATTTGGGAGATCCTTAAAAAATCTGGTAGAGAGGAGAAAAGATTAGGCTGAGGTACAAGAAATACTGCAAACAAGATAAATATAGACTAAAAAAGTTGTTTCTTCTGAGATATCCCTGTACTACAGACACACTGACAGGATTATTTACTAAATTCGGACTAGAAAATCCTGACATTGTTCATGCTATTTCAAATGAACACAGTTACACCCAACTTTTCATCATTTGATTTATGAGAAGTCAAAACAATAAAGTGATTTCTAATTGTGCCACAAAAAAGGAAAAGAGTTTCCTCATTGTAAGGTGCAGTGTAATGCTCTTCTCAGCCCCTCCCTAAATTACCTGGTTCTACTTATTTAAGCTGTACAAAGCAAGCGACAAAGGTAACTATCAATCTTACGGCTCATAAGGTAAGTTCAGTATTTACAAGGGAGTCATGTGGCTGCAAAAAGATCATTCTATTCAATTTAAATTACAAAAAATTTATTTCTTTATTTATAAGGTTTTTTTATTGGAAAATATCAGGCATTAAAGTCATAATTGTTCATGCATTACAATTGTTAATAGATTACATAGATTACATAGTTTTATTGTTTCCACCAGTATGAGCCATTAGACACAAGGAACATCAAGTTCTTGATAAGGCAGTAGTGTGAGTCGAAATAACATTAATGGCTGTTTACTTGTGGTGGAGCATTTGTTAGAAAGCCTGTCTGTAATTTTTATGCTTTTTTGGTAAATATCTTAGTTTAAAATAACATAACATATAACTAATGCTTGAATATCGGAGAGGAGTTGAAGGTACCGACTGCTCGTCTCGCCTCAAGAACCAGTGATATTGTGATTGCGAATTCTGATTTTATTTTCTTGAGAAGTGTTCATTTACATTGTTGTTTGTTGAGTCTAATTTGTACGGCGTCTGTCTTGTGTTTGTATGTAATGGACCCAGGGAGTCCATATGTCCGATAGTAGGGAGTATTTGTGTGTTTTGGTATAGTGGATATCTTCCATTAGGTGGGTAGATTCGACTCTCTGAATCCATTCTCTAATTGTGGGAGCTCTCGATTGTTTCCAGAGTGTGGGTATGAGGGCATTTGCTGCTATCAGTAGGTGGGTAATCAGTGATCTTGTGGTTTAGGCATAGGTTCAGGCAAATGGAGAAAGAGTATGAGTTCGGGTTTGGGGTATATTTTAATGTTTGTTATTAGATGTATCATCTTTAATATTTTGGACCAGTATTCTGTGATGATCGGTCAGTGCCACCATATGTGGCCTGGGGTGCTGGCAGGTTGTCCACATCTCCAACAGGAGTCAGAAACATTTGGGAAGATCTTGTTTAATTTCATAGGTGTTAGGTGCCAGCGCATTATCCGCTTGTAGTTGCCCTCTTGAGATTGTGTACTAAGGCATGTTTTATGGATTCTAAGAAATATGTTTGCCCGGTCCTTTGGGGAGATATGAATGTTAAGTTCTGATTCTCAGGAGTTGGTGAATTTGGGTAGCGGGTGTTTATTGTCAATTGTTAGTAGTTTGTACATAGTAGATAGTTGTTTGGTTTTTATCTTGGTGGATGTGCAGAGTTTTTCAAATTTTGTGAGTTGTCTTTTTCCCTCCGTTAGTTCTGGATGGGATGAGAGAAAGTGTGCGAGTTGCCTTTGTTGGTAGTGTTGTAACGCTGTCTGGTTAGTGTCTCTCATTGTGGTGGTGAATTTCTCGGCATGTCGGGCCTGCAGCGTTGATTGTAATGTAAGGTAATGTGTGGCTTGTACCGAAGCGAAGGAGTATTGGAATGCTCCTGGTGGGAATTGTGGGTTGCGGGTAATCGGATAAAGTGGGGATGGGTGAGGGGCTATATTAGGTGACATTCTAATTTTTTCCCATAGCTTAAGAGTTGGAGTAATTGTAGGGTGGTGGTTGTGTAGTGGTGTTAGTGATAGATTACCTTTTGTTTGCCAAGGGATAGTATAGATAGGGTGTGTGAAGGCGGCGTTTTCTAATAACACCCATTGTGTGCTGTTTGTGGGTATTGTCCAATCATAGATTCTGGAGAGCATAGCTGCTTGATGGTAAAGTTCTATGTCCGGGAGACTTAGGCCTCCTTGGTGTTTATGTGCTGTTAGTAGTTTAAATGGTAGTCATGGGTGGTTATGAGACCAGATAAAACGGGCGAATTGTTTTTTAATTTCTGCGAAGAAGATTTTTGGTATTGCTACAGGAATGGTTTGTAAGAGATATAGGAGTTTCGGTAGTATGTTCATCTTGTTTATGTTTATACGGCACAGCCATCCAAAGATAGGCTTGTGCCATCTTGTTAGGTCCTTTGAAATTGTTTGTAGAAGGGGAGGGAAGTTTAGGTCGTATAATTGGGTTAAACGTATAGATAGGTGAATCCCTAGGTATTTAACTGCCTTTGGTGCCAAAATAAACTGGTAGGAGTGTTGCAAAATATCTTTAGTGGATGTTGAAATGATTAGAAGTAGGATTTCGCTTTTAGTGAAGTTGACCTTAAAGTTTAAGAGGTGTTGGTATAGGGAGATTTCCTTTAAGATTTGTGGCATGGAGGATTTTGGATGTGTGAGAGTGAAAAGAAGGTCATCGGCAAATGCCGCTACTTTATATTCTGTATCCTTCACTACTATGCCATGGACGGATGTGTTGTCTCTAATGCCTTGAAGAAAGGGTTCCATGATCAAGACAAACAATAAGTCTCGTGCTGTTGGGATAGTGAGGGGTTCTAAAAGTTGACTGTTGATCCTAATTCGTGCTCGGGGTTTGGAATATATAGATTTTAGCCATTGAGACCAGTTAGTGCCGAATCCCATAGTCTTTAGTGTGGCAAATATCAAGGACCAGTCCACCCTATCAAATGCCTTTTCGGCGTCTATTGATAGGAGTAGGCTTTCTGATTGTGATTGATGTGCTAAATGCATTAGATTGATCAGTTTTGTGGTGTTGTGTTTGGCTTCTCTTCCGGGGATGAAACCTGCTTGGTCGGGGTGGATCAGGTCTTGTAATAGAGGACGTAATCTGGTAGCTAGAATTTTGGTGAAGAGTTTGAGGTCCGTATTGATTAATGAAATAGGGCAGTAGTTACCGCATAGAGAGGTGTCTTTACCCGGTTTGGGAATTAGGGTTATGTGCGCTTCCAGTGCTGCATCTAGAAGGGTTGGGTTTGTGGTGAGGGAGTTGAAAGCCTTAATGAATGGGTTGGTGAGTGTGTCTGAGAATATTTTATAGTATTTGACTGTGTAGCCATCTGGGCCTGGACTTTTTCCAAGAGGGGATTGCTTGGTCGCTGATAAGAATTCATCTGGTGTTATTGGTGATTCCAAATGTAGTAATAGGTTTTGGGGTATTGTTTGTTTTATTCGAGGGGTTAAGTAGTGTTCTAGTTCTAGAGCTGTTGGAGTGGAAGATCGAATGTTATAGAATTCTGTGTAGAACCTCTGGAATTCACGTAGTATGTCTGTGATTTTAAGTGATATGTGTCCTGATCGTGTTTTGATCTTGGATATAAATGTAGTTTGTCTCGTGTCTTTAAGTGAGTTAGCTAGGAGGCGTCCACATTTGCCTCCTTTAGAGTAGTAAGAGTATTTGGTGAACGTCATTTGTTGTTTAATTTGGGTGTTCATCAGCTTTTGCAGTTCCGTTCTTTTTTCCGTTAATAGTTTGTATGTTATTTAAATTAATTTTAAGAGGTTCAAATAGCCAACAAAAAAGTTAACTATTGGTTATTTATAGTCCCTCAGTAATCTATTCTCAGTCCCCCAGTTAGCTATTCCTATCCCAATAATCAATTTTTGTATTCCGAGTTCCCACTTGCTCTCCCCAGTTATCTTTTACTAATCCCAATTATCTTTACCCAGCCAATCCCTAGTTGTATGGGACTCACCTAATAAAGGGACACTATATAGGCATCTAGTGCCAGGGAAGTGGAATGGGGGCGGGGCCATCATGGCAGACCTGTGAGGAACTGAAATAAAGGTACGTTTTTACCATATTTATGGGGGCAATGGGGTTGGCAACCTAAATAAACAGGGTCATAAATACACGTTTGTATTCATAAGCTGCCTTCAAAATGGATGCTGTCCAGGAGGTGGGAGGGTCTGGGAGGGAGGGTCTGCTGCAGATTGGCCAGGATGTGTCTGCTGACTGGAGTCCGCTGCAATTGGTTCGTGGCGAACCGTGGCGAACCGTTCGCGAACTGTTCGTGAAAAGTTTGCGACATCACTAAACCTAAATACTTATTTTACAACTATAGTGCCAGGAATACATGTTTGTGTTCCTACCACTATATAGAGTTCCTTTAATCACACGCAGGGTCATGAAGGCTATCAACAAAGACAAAGACACGAGATAAGTAATTAAAAAAATTAAACGACTGTGCAATAAAGGAAGTTTAAACATTAGATGACTCTTACTGGGAGTGTTTAGCAAGGCTGTGTAAGTCACATGCAGGGAGGCATGACTATGGCTATATACATTTTTTTTTTAAATTTAACTCCTAAATGGCAGGTAATTAAACAGTGAGACTGCCTGGGGAATAATCTATACACCAAAACTGTTTCATTTAGCTTAAGTTGTTTTGCTGACTATAGTGTCTCTTTAAGAATAGAAAAGACAACAGAGCACTTCTCTAAACAATGAAGGGTTAATTAGTCTAGATGTGCTTGCACACACAGTCAGATTGGAATTGTGACGGCATAGAGCACACACCCTATGGCATGTCAAGAGAAACAAAACAAGAAAGACAAAAATGAAAAGGAGTTTTGTTTGGGTAAAATAGAACTCGAGGAAGGGAGGACAGAAACAAAAGATATATTTTATTAGAATATTTGGCAATGCTGCTGGAGGGGTTAATCACTAGACATCAGCAGTTTGATGGCTTGTCTTTTGTTGCTAATTACGGAAGATGTATGCAAGAATTATATATATATATTTATTTTTTGTTTATAGCTCTGGAAAACCACTGGGGTTATTTGAAAAAAAAACAGGAATTGGCAATTTTATGCTAAAATAGCTGAATAAAAATTATTTCTATTTTTACCTAAAATTTGTCAATTTATTTAACCCCTTAGGGACACATGACATGTGTGACATGTCACGATTCCCTTTTATTCCAGAAGTTTGGTCCTTAAGGGGTTAAATACTTCCTGATGATTCCCAGTTAACTTATACTAAGTTTGCTCATCAATCCATATTAAAGTGAGTCTTGTATTAATGTCTCACTTTCAATAGTACTTCATTCTCCTTATTGATATGTCTGTTTTTTGGTTTTTTTTTAACCCCTTCAGGACCAATACTATTTCACAGGAATGTCACGTTAATATGTGGGTTCAGATCCTGAAGGTGTAACATGAACAAGAAGGCAGTAACAGTAATAGAAATGATCACATACTCTCATAAAAAAAGTTTATAACATTGAAAGTATTTAAAATCTATACTCCGGCTCCTGACAAATGACTAATATTTAGCTAATATTGGGGTTTGAACCCAATACACTTTAAATTGAGCAGCCATACTGTTATATAATGACAATTACTACACCAGACGCAGTGGAGTGCACTTTGTCATCCAGCAGTAAATTGGGATTACTGAATAGTTCGTAAGTATTGAGATTTTTGTTTTTTTTCATTGGTAGTAGTCTGTTGTGAATGTTCAGTTTTTTTTTTTTCTCTATATTGGAAGAAGATTGTATCAAATGGAAATCTTCTAAACTGTGTCTATGTCATGATCACAAACTTTGTCTCTAAAATTACACTGACAAAAAAATAATTTATTTTCAGAACTCACCATTTCTCCAGAAAAAATTAATTGTTGCACGCAGAAAATGATCTTTCTTTTGGCATTGCTCTACCCGCTCTGTATTACTGCCTATCCCAATGGACAGGGTATAGAGGGATCATGCACCTCAATGATTCCAAGTCATGGAGCATCAGCTCAAACAAGCAGCGCCCCTTATACTGTGGGACTGTCTAAATCAACCTACAGTTCAGGAGAGAGAATTACAGGTAAATCTGTCTTAGATACACTCAGAGAAGAGTTCAAAATATATTTATAGTTCCATTAGTTTTTTGGTTGTTCTATTATTTTATATCAATTAATGTATTTGACTGAGATATATATATATATAGCATTGTTAATATAACAAAAACAGTTTGCGCAACATCGATGTAACCTGGCAGCCAAGGAGAGGACTAGAATGTGCATGTGTGATCAATAAGCTAAAGTTGTATCCTTTTAAAATTTGTGTAAAATAGACATCTGTTGCATGCATGTTTGAGTGTGAATTGCTGGATAGTAAGGCTTACGCTAAAGATACATAATGTTTTATATATAGTGCAGAAAATAAAAAAAATTAAAATCTTGGTTGGTGGTGCTACCTCTCATTTTACAGTCACTCTCAGCACTAATCCAGGAGCAACCCAGTTCACTGGTTTTCTGATCCAGGCTCGTGCCGGTAGCAGTAACACACCTATAGGATCTTTTGAGACCAGTAACTCAAATGCACAAACATTGACGTGTACTACCAGTGCGGTGAGTATAATTAAAGATCCCAGAAAGGTTATAATGACTTGAAACAAAATGAATAAAATATTAGGAGACTACATTGTTTCAGTAGTTACTGTATATTTGCATATGTGCTGATCCTATTATAGAAAGATATACACTACTGTACTTCACTGAATGTGCGGCATCATCAACAAACAGTGAAAAAATCCTACAGCTGAATTAATTGGTAAAACACAGATTATGATTGTGCTATGTTGTGAGCTGATGCTTTTGCACACATTTAGCCTTCCTGCTGTGTGTATTTGAAAACCTTGATAAGAGGAAACCCTTGAAGCAAGGGGGTCCTGAGGTGAAGCTCTAGTGACACAGAGATACCCTTGTCTAGAAAATAACTAGAGTGGGTATATGGACAGTAACCAGGTATAAGGGGAAAAGAAGGGGAGTGGGGAAGGTTGGATAGGGTATCTGTACAGAGGAGGGTGGGTATGAATCAGGAAATGTTGGGAAGGACCAATTGCCAATGAAGCTGTACAAAGAGAAACTACTACCCACAAACATAGGTCCCCCCCAGGATGCGACAGTCCAAAACTAGGTAACCAATGAGTACCAAAGGCTAAGCCAATATAATATAACCTTAAGGTAAGAAGGAATAGCCCTAATGGTACTCTGGTACCGTGGAGGACTGCACTGATCCTACTAACACCACAATTCTCCCCTGCCTGGCAAAAATAGTGCTAAAAGTTAAAAGTTTAATAATTTTAAATAGGCATAAGAAAACCTAGTGCTACCAAGTGAAAAGCAAAATAAAGAAAGGTGCTCAAATAGTATGCTCAGGACTACTTAAATAATTATAAAAATAAAAAACTTTATAACCTACATAGTAACATATTTACAACACGTATCTACTGCACTAGTAAACAGTAACTAGACTCTGTGGGTGGAAAGTAAAAAGTCTTATCTGTCGTTTACAGAAATGAGGAGAAGAGAAGCCTTCATTTAGTCCCTGTGGTGAGAACATGTTAAGTTTGTAAATCCAAAAAGATTCCCTCTGCCTTAACTTGCGATCCCAGTACTTTAAAAATGCCAGATTGCTGTGTGCAGTTTAGATAGACCTATGCAACCTCTTTACCAGGCTTCCCAACTGTCCTATTTCGGTGTCCTGTCCTGCTGTCTTGAATTTTTTTCCCAGGTGTCCCACTTTGAAGACACTAGAAAATATGCGCAGGTGTTTCATTAGACATGAATACACTGAGAGCACTTGCACCATGCAGAAAATGCTGTAACAATGCTCTCTGCGTGCTCTGCCTTTAGTGGGCCAGCCTGTGTAAAAGTTCTGACTATGTAGACCTTTGTTGATAGTGTAATATCTTTCGTTTTTACCAGCTTGTCCAAGCTTGCCATAGCTTTCCTCCCCAGAAGCAAACGTCTTTTAATTTCATGACTGCAGACACCATCTAAAGAGATCTTGAAACCCAGGAAAATTAAATCTGTCACTGCCTCCACTTCTTCCCCATCTATTTGGTAGGAACTAAGATTGCTGTTTGCCATGATCTTAGTCTTTTTAACGTTAAGCAGCAAGCCAGCTTTTGCACTCTCTTCTTTTACCCTCATCAACAGGTCCTTTAGTTCTTCTTCACTTTTAGCCATCAGAGTAGTATCATCCATGTATCTGAGGCTGTTGATATTTCTTACAGCAATATTGATTCCAGCTTTGGATTCATCCAGCCTAGCCTTATGTATTATGTATTCTGCATAGAAGTTGAAAAAATAAGGTGACAATATGCAACCTTGTCGCACTTGTTTCCCTATCTTGAACCATTCTGTTGTCCCATGTTCCGTTCTGACTGTGGCTTCTTCAGATTCCTCAGGAGGTGGATGAGATGATCTGGTACTCCCATCTCTTTAAGAACTTGCCACATGTTGCGATCCACACAGTCAAAGGCTTTATAATAGTCTATCAAGCAGAAGTAGATGTTTTTCTGGAACTCTCTGGCTTTCTCTATTATTCATCGTACATTGGCAATTTGATCTCTTGTGCCTCGTCCTCTGCGGAACCCAGCTTGTACATCTGGTAATTCCCGGTTCAAATATCGTTTGAGCCGATCTGGTAGGATCTTAAGCATTACCTTGCTGGCATGTGAAATTAGTTTGATAATGCAATTGTTCGATAATTGGAGGACTCTTTGGCATTGCCTTTTTTTGGGATTGGGATGTAGACTGACCTTTTCCAGTCTTTTGGCCACTGTTGAATTTTCCAAATTTGTTGACATAAGCAGAATTTTCACATCATCTTGCAGAATTTTGAATAGTTCAATTGTGATTTCATCATATTTTGCAGCCTTGTTATCTGCAAGGCATCCTAGGGTCCATCTCACTTTACTCTCCAAGACTTCTGGTTCCATCTCATTGGACTACCTATTGAGGTAATCACTGCTGTTAAGATCCTTCCTGTATAGATTTTCAGTGTATTCCTGCCATCTCTTCTTATCTGATCTTCTTCTGTTAAGTCCCTGTCATTTTTGTCTTTTATCACACCCACTTTGGCATGAAAGGTAACTTTTAGATCCCCAATTTTCTTGAATAGATCTCTCGACTTTCACATTCTGTTATCTTCTTCTATATCTTTACATTGCTCATTGTAGAATGTCTCCTTGTCTCTTCTTGTATCCTTTGAAATTATGCATTCAGTTGGACACATTTTTTCCGATCTCCACTAGCTTTCGCTTTCCTTGTTTCCTGGGCTATTTTTTTAAAACCTCATCAGATAGCCAGTTTGCCTTCTTAGATTTCTTTCTTTTGGGGATATTTTTTCTTGCGGTTTCCTGGATAAGATTGCAAACTTCAGTCCAAAGTTCTTCAGCCATTCTATCGACCATGTCTAGTCCCTCAAATCTATTCTGTACTTCCACTGCATATTCACATGGGATATTATTCATGTCATATCTGATTCATCTGATGGTTTTCCCTCTTTTTAATTTTGCAATGAGAAGCTCATGGTCTGAGCTACTGTCAGCTCCAGGCCATGTTTTTGCTGACTGTAGAGAGCTCCTCCATCTTTGGCTGCAAAGTATATAGTCAATGTAATTTCTATATTGTCCATGTGTAGAGTCGTCTCGGAGGCTGTTGGAAGAAGGTGTTTTCTATGACCAGAGAATTATCTTGACAGTATTCTACTAATCTCTAACCTACTTAATTTTAAACTCCAAGGCCAAACTTGCCAGTTATTCCAGGTGTCTTTTAGTTCCCTACTTTAGCATTCCTGTCTCCTATGAGGATAGTAACATCTTTTTTTGGTGTTATATCTATCATGTGTTGAATATCTTCATAGAACTGGACAATTTCAGCCTCTTCAGTATCCATGGTTGGAGCTAAAACCTGGATCACTGTGATGTTAAATGGCTTGCCTTAAATTTGAATTAAAATCATTCTGTCATTTATTGGGTGTAGCCGAGCACTGCTTTGCCCACCTGAATATATACTATGATGGCTACTCCATTTCTTATTTAGGATTCTTGACCACAATAGAAGATGTGATGGTTGTCTGATGTGAAATGTCCCATTCCAGTACATTTGAGTCCACTTATTCCCAGGATATCGATGTTTAACTTTGTCATCTCATGTTTGATCACATCCAATTTGTCTTGGTTCATAGTTCTAACATTCAAGTTTCCTATGTTCAATTGTTTTTTGCAGCAGCAGACTTTCCTTTCCCCTCCAAACACATCCGCAGATGGGTGTCCTTTTGGCTTTGGCCCAACTACTTCATTAAATCTGGTGCTACTCTTCCTCACCCTCTGCTCTTCCTCAGTAATGTAGTAGGCACCTTCTTATCTGAGGGGCTCATCTTCCAATGCCATATCGTTATGTCTGTCCATATAGTTATCTTAGCAAAGTTACTGGAGTGGGTTGCTAGTTCCTTCTCCAGTGGACCGTGATTTGTCTGACTTCTCTGCTATGACCTGCCCATCTTGGGTGTCCCTACATGGTATAGCTCAAAGCTTCATTGAAGTACACAAGCCCCTTCACCACGGCAAGGTAGCGATCCAGAAGAGTACATTGATTTTAGGGGTATGCTTTATTGTGATATCGGACACTTGTTATCCAAGATCATACCATCAGCTTTATTCACTAAAGTGTGAATTGTAAGGACTTTAAAATTAATTTAAAGGGACACAATAAGCATTACAAAAACTACAACTTAATGTAGTTGTTCTGGTGAACATAGTCAGTCGCTGCTAGCTTTTTGCAGTGTTTACATTTTCAGAGAAAAGGCAGTGTTTACATTTCAGCCTAAGGACACTTCAAGTGGCCACTCCCCAGAAGGCTACTAGAGGTGCATCATAAAGCAGTGCTACACAGTGTGCAGCACTGACATTCAGTGTCTCCACCCTCTGCATGGAGACATTGCATTTTCCTCATAGAGATGCGTTGATTTAGCTCAACTCCCCTATGGGAAAGCATTGTGAAGCATTGTGGCTGAGATAATCACTTCTGATGTCAGACAAGGAGGCAGATCAGGGGTAGAGCCAGCACCAGCAAGCTGGAATAAAGGTAAGATTTTACTATATTTATGAAGGAAATCGGGATCGATAGTGTTTGTAACACTATAGGTTCAGGAATACATGTTTGTGCCCCTTATCCTATTGTGTCCCTTTAAAGTGAATATCAAATATGTGAATTTCAAATATGTAAAACTATAAAACGATCTCCAAGTCGGCTATTTTCTAAACTAATTTGACCTAAAAATCAAAAGTTACTTTGCATCCATTACATTTTGCAGTTTAGTAATATCACTGCAGGTGTATTACAGCTTTAACACTAATTGTTTTATTAATTCCAACAGAGTGCGGTGAGTCATACCAGTAACTCGAAGAAATCAAACATAGAAGTAACTTGGGTAGCACCAAATGCTAACATTACAAATCTCCAATTCAGGTAAATCTCCCTCGTAGTATAAGCTGGAGCAACTGGTCTTCACAATCATGAACTTTACACTGGTGATAAATGTGGTTGATGTAATGATGTAATATACAAATGTGATGATTATGCATTTTAATGTTAATCTTTTTATTTACCTTTGACAGAGCCACAGTTGTACAAGTGGAAAAAACATTCTGGATAAATGTTGCTAGTTCTACACTAACCTATGTTGCAGCAACTACATCCAGTACAACAGTGAGCACCCCAATTACAGCTACACAATCTAATTATTTTGGAAATACCAGCATCGCGACTGTAGCTAAACAATCTAATTCCTCAGGAAGCCCTAGTACCACAACTGTAGCTAAACAATCTAATAACAGTGGATCCATATTGTCGGTAAGTATTACAACTGCGCCTGTCCAATTACTCAGAATAGCTAGTAGTAATAGTAATGTAATATAAAGATGCACATCGTCAACTAATGGATACTCAGACACAGGGTGCCATGCCTGCAGGGGGCGCCATGCTGGCAACATAGCTCGCACATGCTCCAGGTGACAGGAGTGAGGACATGTATAGAGTATACAGCAGGTCTGCTCAACCGGGTGGAGAACTTCATTATCCTCCACAAACTCCATACACTCCAAAAAACACACCTAAGAAGGCAGCGAGGGCAGAGCTTCATGCTCGGCGAGAGAGGAGCTAAAAGGGCTGCGGGGGCGGAGCTAAAAGCATCCGCTTCCCTTAACCTCTGCTCACTAAGTGGGAAGCAGGAAGAAACCCCTGCTTCCCCAACTAACAGGTAGCAGGAACTGCAGTGCCTTCCCTCCTCACTCAAGTCCGTAATGGCAAGAGGTAATGTTGTATGTGTGTGACTGTATGTAAATGTGTGTGTGTGTGTGTGACTGTATGTAACTGTGTGTTTGTGACTGCCAGTAACTGTGTATGTGTGTGTGTATGTGTGAGTGCCTGTAACTGTGTGTGTGACTGGATGTAACATTGTGGGTGACTGTGTTTCCCTGTCTGTCTGTAACTGTGTGTGTATCTTTGAGCCTGTAACTGTGTGTCTGTCTGCCTGTAACGGTCTGTGTGTGACTGTCTAACTGTGTTGTGTGTGTGTGTGTGGCTAAAATAAACAAAGAACCCTGCACACTGATACTTTGTAAATGCTCCGGCTATCCACAGTGTGTGTGGCTGTGTGTAACTGTGTGACTGTGTGTGTGACTGCCTGCAACTATGTATGTGTATCTGTCTGCCTGTAAGAGTGTGTAACTGTCTAACTGTGTGTGTGACTGTCTAACTGTCTGTATGTGACTGTCTGCCTCTAACTGTGTGTGTGACTGCCTGCAGCTCTGTATGTGTATCTGCCTGCCTGTAACAGTGTGTGTGTGAGTGAGTGTGTGTGACTGTCTAGTTAGGAAGGGAATACCCTTCATTATCTCGAGAACCATCACTACTCAAGGTTTTAGAATATTTTACCTATCCATTTTATTTATAAAACGTGTTTGTGAGAGCTGAAAATATATTATTAAATGTAGAGATACAGACTGCTCTCTTCACCTCTATCCTGATAGATCCATCTTCACTCCCTGTCAATCATTGTATAAGCCCCACCCTTTGCATCTGTCAATCAGCACAGAGAGCATAGAGAGGGAAAAGGAAAGCTTAATAACAATCCCTTTTCTCCTCCTCCTCCAACATAATGTGTGCCCTGCCATGCTTGGACTAAAGGATTGTGATGTCAGTAGTAATTCTTGAATGCATTGTTAATATACAATTGAAATAAAGCAAAGCATCATAAAAAAAAAGTATAATTTAAGCATTCAATTTCTAGAGAAGCAACAATTCATCTTTTGGAAAATAAATTACATTTTGTAGAAAAATTCATTAGATTTGTAACTCTTTTGGTTTGCATTTATCCAAGCTGCTTTTAACAATTTTTGTTATGCGTGTTCTACTGCCACGGGGTAAGCTTTTCACATTAGATAAATAATGCACATTTACTTCCCAAGTTAGATGGGTAATCCAGACGTGGACCCCATGCTCACTGTGCCTAAAAGTATATTAGCTACACCTGGCTGACGAGACCTTAAGGTGGCCAAAATGGTCATCCAGGGTTGCTATATCTTTCGTGCAGAGAGATCTTGCTGACATTTCGTTCTGGACTTTCGGTTCTGGACTGCCCTTATGTCTGATGTGCAATAGTTTAATTTCACTTTGTAAGGGCACAAATGAGCAAAATCTATTTTGAGACCGGAGTGGGGATTTACTGAAGGGCAAGCTATTTAGTTTCTCTAAGCTTTTGTCTGTTCTCAGAGTTCTCATATTCTCTGTTTTTGTTTCACACTGACATGCTTCTTGTTTCATACAGTTTCCCGTCTTATACGAACTCCTGATTGTTACTATAATTGTCATCACTGGTTTCACACAAATTTGAAGATAGCCTTCAGGATGTCTATTCTATTGCCAGCACATGGCTACACAACTGTATACTGTAACATCATTCTGTTAAACACCAATGAATCAAATATGGAATTTCTGGAGACTTTAGCTAATTAAATAGAAAATGTAAATATGTTTTACTATATGATTGTAAAGATCTAATTATGCTTATTATGATTGCTTTCATACATTGACAATATATGTAGTTGGTCAACATTTAACTATAAACATAAAAGTATTGATTGTCTGAACTTTTTACATTACCATCTTAAAGGGATTCTTTAGTGCCAGAAAATCCTGGAGTGCCCCCATCCCACGTCGCTGAAGTGGTTAAAACCCCTTCAGACACTTACCTGAATCCAGCACCGATGTCCCTTGGTGCTGGGTCAGGCTCCGCCCACGCTCCTGCCCCACCGACATCCGCCGGCGGGGAAGATCTAATGCGCTTGCGCGGCAATGGCCACGCACATTAGACCTCCCCATAGTAAAGCATTATTCAATGCTTTCCTATGGGATTCTGGCGACACTGGAGGTCTTAATGCATAGCGTGAGGATGTCCAGCGTCGTTTAGAAGACCAAAAGTCATCAAAGAGGCCGGAAGTCTGGTAGACAGCCACTAGAGGAAGACTTAACCCTGCAAGGTAATTATTGCAGTTTATAACAACTGCAATAATTACACTTGCAGGGTTAAGGGTGATGGGAGTTGGCACCCAGACCACTTCAATGAGCTGAAGTGGTCTGGGTGCCTCCAGTGTCCCTTTAACCCCTTAAGGACACATGACATGTGTGACGTCATGATTCCCTTTTATTCCAGAAGTTTGGTCCTTAAGGGGTTAAATGGCTACATACAGAGAACTAACATTTTTCTTTTTTTAAATCTGCTAGTCACTTGCATTACATTTTCACTTTAATAATGACATCCAAATCACCAAAATCAAAGCAGGGATTAAATTACTGTTCACTGGTCTACATTGGCGTTTACTTGCATTTTTCCTCACATTTAGAAAATAAATCCTGTGGATTGCTCTCACAACCCTTTAAGGTAAAATACTGTTTTGTTATATATATGCATCTAACAGTGCACATTCTCCTTTGTTATCACACATCATATTGACTATTTTACATATCATTCAAAAGTAGAACAACATAATCCTGGGTTCTCCTGACTATATATAATATATGTAAATTTTATTTCTGACCCACCCCCCACAGGCTAAATTTTTTTTTTTTTTTAAACTCACCTTTTATTCTAATGTTACATTCTATTATCTTTATAGATAATAACTTGTGGGAACTACCAGTGCAGGTGGCAGGATTTTTACCTCCATGGACAAAATCCATTTTGTCACCGCTTGTATATCCCACATATTCCTTTAGTTTCTCTTGCCATCTTTTTGCCTTCTTACATTCTCATTCTGTCTGCTTTTCCTGGGGACTGGGCACATGGGTAAGGTCTAAGGCAGATTTATTGGGCAGTGCAGAACAATGCTTTAGCTCAAGATAGCTCCTTTTCAAGCTTGAGAAAGGCTCTTTTGAGCCAAAATGTTGCTCTGCTCTGTCCAAAAGAATCTACTTTGGACCTTACACATATGCCTAGTTCTATTGTTTGTTATACTGGTTGAATGTGGTTGTCAGGAGGCACTGCGGTGGTCCCTAATATGTGTGCCGTCTCATACTCAAGGATTGAGGCATAATCTTTAAATTGTGCAGGTAAAATCTCAGCAAATGAGTAGATTAAAATATTTTAACCTGAATATCACATAAATCTCTTCCAAGCCTTTCTGCAGTGTCACAATCACACAAAAATAAATTCAGTGCGGAAGCAAAGTGATAATAGTCCAAAAGTAGCTTGAACAACAAAACGGATCTCTCTTTTCCAATCAGAAAACTGGATAAAAACAGGGGGGTAGGTGCAGTGCTTCAGTAATCCTTGACAAGGTATATGTGAAGAGAACCAGAGAATAAATAATAGTGTAGTATTTAAAACTGTGGTTGTGATAAGTAAAATAAAAGATGTGCACTCACACTTTCCTGGAGCTTCAATAAAGCTCCAGTGTATGCGCCTGGGCAGAATAATCCCCGCCTATGGATAAAGTGCAGAGGCAATTCTTCAAGTTATAGGTGCGGTATCCTCATAAAAAACAAACAAATAAAAATCGTATATGGTGAAGTATGTAGAGCTATGAAGCAAGGGTAGGTAAAAACTATAAAATGTACACTCACGTGTAAGGGAGCCATTAAAAAAAATGAGTTTGTTTTCCTGGCACTATAGTGGTCCTTTAAACGTGTTTTCTCTAGAGTCTCCGTATTTGATCTTCTATGAAGACTTACCAATCATGAGTACAGTGGCTGGTTAATATGGGCAACACTCCTCCCCTATAAGTTTTTGTTGTAATAAAAAAAAAAAAAATCTTATAACTCTCATTATTAACGATGAATGTATAATAGAAAAAAAAGTTACATCTGTCACTTAATTTTCCAATACATTCTACCATTCTTTCTTGTAGTCTGAAGATGCTACACAAAGGCTGAATAACTAATTATAAACTCTGGGACATGCTGAAAGAACCTACCTACATATTTCTATCTATCTGTCTATTTGACAGCAAGTTTATTCACATGACATAGAACCTCTTTAAATACATTTTTAAACTGATCGATCGATTTAAAAACAAAACAAAAAAGGGTTCCGGACAAACCGATTTATTTATGGAAGACTACAAAGAATGTAGTGTTTCTGTGCCTAAGGGAAACCTTTCAGAGTGCAACTTGAGATATGCAGGTGGTGCACAGCAGTAAATATAAATATTGTAATGGGGTCAGGTACAATGCATAGGTTAGTTGGAGGTATTTGTATTCACTTTTTGTATCACACAGCTTTGTTACAATGCTGCCGCCTATCCCATGTGTTCCCTATTAAGGGTTAATAAGTTAATAGGGGTGTATATAAAAAATATCCCTCTCTGTCTTATTAGAGATATCTTTGCCAGAAGCTCAAGGAAGCAAGGTGACAGGTCAGAGTAGGACCCACCTGTAGGGAGTCTGCCTTGACGTTGGCAGGCGGGCATTCGCTCCAGGGCCATTGGAGTAACTAAATGACCTCCATTTGTTTAAATATACATAGGAATTTAGGAGAGAGCGCAGGTAACTTTTTCATAGTTTTTTACTGTATGTATTGGGGCTGATGAGTACTGTGGTCGTTGCTGCTGCCCAGGAGTGATGGGAGTGAGCGCAGGACTTTTTTTTTTTTTTGTATTTGTATTTACCAAGTAACAGTCTTAATTGTATGCCTAATTCTAATGCTAAATCTAAACCTAATCCTAATCACAAACCACATCCTAATCATAGCTCGAAGCCTAATCTTAATCCTAACAATTTTAATGGTGTTAGGATTCCCTGTGTTGATAAGAGCAGAGGAATTTCCTGTCTGATTTCAACAGAGGGATTCTTTTGCTGACCCTAATTCTAATTTGAAGCTAGTCAGACCTAAAACTAATCCTAATCGTAAAATTTGTTTTAATCCTAAACTTAATATTATTCCTAATACTTATTCTAAACCTACTATTAACCCACAATCTTATTTCTTAATTTAATCCTAATCACAAGGGTTTCCCTTTGCGAATATATACTGATATTAGCAAAGGGAATTCTAAACTAAAATAGAGTGGCATGTTGTTGCCATCTACAGGCTATTTTCAGTATGAAAGGCAAATACCTGTTACATTGAAACTAGCATGCCCAACGCATTGCGATCAGTGCTGGGCAATTGACAAAGCCCAGCATCAATCAAAATGACATTGGAGCATGGAGGATGAGCCTCTAGGGGCTGTTCAGACCCTGGGGGTGCCCCAAGCACTAGATCCAGTGAGAGAATTACCTTGGCTGAGCTTGACTGCTCAGCTGCTATGTTCTCAATAGATTTTCAGCTCTACATACATCTTATCAACTCACTCATCAGTCTGAGGCCACTAAAAGTCACCCCCAATTAGCACTGTTGTTATTTTTACTTTTTGTAATAGAGTTAAAACATACAGCAAGAGTCTGACAGTAACAGAGTCTTTGGACCTGTTTGCTGGCTGCTTGATCCCGGTAGCTTGGGATAAGTAAAAAAGAGAGCTGGGCCTGATAGCTACAAGTGCCTATGTAAGAGCAGGAGCTCATCACATTACAAGCAGAGGTGTGGATACCTGCCTTTGAAAGAAGCTGAAGAGGTAATGGCAGAGGGGATGAAGAGAGCTGCTGCCTGGTCATGTGGAAGAGTTGAGGAGAAAAGCCAGTCAAGTTTCGGCGTCTGGATCAGACGAGCTCCAGAGTCCCCTGTGGCAGCAAGGTTTTGACTTGGTGCAGTTACTCAGTCAGAGTACAGGGACTCCATCACACTGGAGTTATTGCCCCCTCCACTCTACTGAGACTGCTCTTATTAAAGTTACAAATGTCCTAATCACAGTCAAATCCAAAGGCCACTACTCCATACTAATTGTTCTTGACATTTCTGCTGCCTTTGACACTTTTGATCATGGCCTCCTTCTCATAACTCTTCAATCTCTTGGTCTCTGTGACACAGCCCTCTCATGGTTCTCTTCCTATCTCTCCCAAAGCTCCTTTAGTGTCTCTTTTTTTTCAAACAGCACCTCCTCTCCTCATCCTGTCTCAGTCGGATTCTCTCAAGGTTCAGTTCTTAGTTCTCTCTGTATACTGCCTCTCTTGGCAAACTCATTAATTCATTTGGATTCCACTGCCACCTGTATGCTGATGACACCCAGATATATCTCTCTTCCCCTGACCTGTCCCCTATGTCTTACAACATGTCACCAAATGCCTATCTTCTATCTCTGATTGGATGTCCTCCTGCTTTCTGAAGCTCAATCTCTCTAAAACTGAGTTTCTTATTTTTCCTCCTCAAAACACTGATCCTCCTCCTTCACTCTCCCTGCAGGTTGACAGTACCTGCCTCACCCCATCCTTTCAAGCTTGCTGTCTTGGTGTCACTTTTGATCCAGGCCTCACTTTTGTGCCTTATGTCCAGTCTGTTGCTAAAACCTGTCAATTCCAACTTAAAAACATTGCCGCACACAGCCCTTTCTTACACAAGATGCTGCCAAGGAGCTTGCTCACCCTACAGTGATCTCTTGCATCGATTACTGTAATTCTCTCCTAATTGGTCTCTCCAGAAGTCATACTGCCCCCCTACAATCTGTGGTGAATGATGCTGCCAGGCTTATCTTTTTCTCCTGTCACTGCTCTCAAACCTCACCTCTCTGGTGTTCCTTACACTGGCTTACTGTATCCTACAGGTGTCACTTTAAAATACTAACCCTTACCTATAAAGCTCTAACCAACTCTAGCCTCTCTTACATTTCTTCACTGATTCATAGATATCCCCCCTATCTGTCTCTCCGCTCTACTGGTGACCTTCTCATGTCTGCTGCTTGCATCCTTACGTCAATTTCACACCTGCAAGACTTCTCACTGGCAGCTCCTTTCCTTTAGAACAGCCTGCCTACCCCTGTCAATCCTTTAAGAAGTCCCTCAAAACCCATCTTTTCGGGGGGGCGGAGTCTAGCAACAGACGAGGAAGGTCGCATGGCGGCAGAGCTCCCGACTCCAAACGAGCTAAATCGCCGCAACCAGAACCCGACCACGACCCAAACACTCCCCGGAGTGCCCCACGGCTTACTCAATCCACATGGGCATAAAAACAAAGAAGCAAAAGCCCGACAAGCCCCGTCTGGGCATGAATATCGGGGACATGTGGAAGCAGGCCCATGAGACAGCCGGCGCAACAATGGCGTCCCTGCACGGAGGCTGCTCCGATTTCTCGGACGGCACGTCTGATGAAGAAGAAGGGAGCTGCATGCCGATTAAAGCTCCACTACTGCCAGACAGGCCTCGAGTACATTAGCCCCCACACCGGTGACCATGGAGGCCATCAGGGAGCTCATGGCCGCTCATCACAGCAAAATCTCTGCAGAAGTGGCCACGATAAGGGAGGACCTGAAAGGCCTCTCAGCGCGGCTCGGGACAGTGGAATGCACCTCAAGCGGCCACACCAGCCAGATAGAGGAGCTGAAAGCAACAGTACACGACCTCAAACAACTGGCAGCACTACATGACCAGCAACTGGCCACACAAGAGGATAAGCGACGGCAAAACAATCTAAAACTACGAGGGGTCGCAGATTCTGTACCCGAGGCCGAGCTCCCACATTATGCTAGGCGGCTACTGACTGCACTCTTAACCCCGAAAGTGGCCAAATCCATACTATTGGACGACATCTTCCGTATACCACGGCCAACTACAGCACCACCAGCTGCCACAGGGGACATAATCCTGCGTTTTCAAAGCGCGAGGGACAAGAGGGCTATTCTAGAAGCCACCAAAGGCCTAACAACCTACACTTTTGAGGACATGACTCTATCGTTTTATGCAGATCTCTCAAGTGGAACGCTGAACTGGAGAAGATCCCTCAGACAGCTTACATCCTTCTTGAGGCAGAAACAACTCAGGTACCGCTGGGGTCCAGGGCGCGCACTACACATAGAAGGCGCAAGCGGCCCTCTAGAGGTGCGGAACATACAAGAGGCCACAAGGACACTGGAAGACATGCAGCTGCCACTGACGGCACCAGACACCGCTAATCCACTGGCTGGAACCACAAGCAGCCCAGGGAGGGGCGCAATCTTTGTGCCACGACGGCCCCCAACAGGACCACGTGCGGCTCCCACAACCTGAAACAGAACAAACACTACCGGGACGCTTTCCCTCTCTTTTCTTTTACCGGGCAACAACCTGGCCCACTGCCCAACAGATGAGAACACCCATCCACAGCGAGAGTAATCGAGACTGTCTGCTCGCATTTTTATTTTTCTTAGTGTTTTTTTTTTTTTTTATTGATGCTGACTCATACTAAATGTTTACCACACCTGTATAGACACCCGTATTTACAACACGTACCTAAACAACCAGATCAGGCAGAGGCCGTTTAAAATATATGCTTAAATGCCTGACCCACCACCTTAAGCATGGCATAACCTTCCAGACAACATTACATAACATGTCACTATCGTGTTTTCCCATAAAAAACTTCCGAACGTTGTCATACAGTAGCATCCACAATAACGCCCCAGCCTGCACTTAATAAAAGCTCAGCCTGCACTTACTAACGCCCCAGCCTGCATTTATAAGGCTCTTAGCCCAACCACGCACGAACGGTGTCCTTTTGATATGGCTGGCAGGAGCTTTGAGAGAGGCCCCACTTACCCCCACTCATTTAGAATATATTAATTTCCAAACAGTATAACATAAGCACAATCCTTTTTACATCGCCCATACGCTCACAACCCATAATGTTACAATATAAACATGAGCTACACCTTTCACATGCTGACTAATTGTTAATAAATATTGGGTATCATGCTGGTCAACACTGTTGGGACATGACGAGCCCACCTGATCTTTATTTCCATGCACACCATAATATGATATTGCGCATAGCTAATACATGTTTCTGCCTATTGAGCAACGCCTGTCCTGGCGTCACTTTGATATGCCTGTTTTGTTCTCTTTCGGTAAATTTCTTTTGTTAAATCTTTTTGGTAAAATCGTGAATTTCTCACTCAAACAAAAACAAAGTGCAACGCATAACAAATATGTCACCAGAATTGTCTTTATTTGCCTACTACTGTAATCTTATGTGACCACCTTGACAAATGTACCTACTTTTGCACTTACAAAAATAAAGAATAAAAAAAAAAAAACCATCTTTTCAGGATTGCTTATTGCCTCCAAGAGTAACTTCTATCTCTCAAACCTTCATCTAGCTCTCTCCTATAGGGCCACACTCCACTCTCACCTCCAGTTCTGCTACTTTCCCACCATGTCTATTTGCTGTCTCTCTCTACCCTTCCTATTGTGGTTTTATACCCCTACTCTAGACTGTAAGCTCGTTTGAGCAGGGTCCTCAACTACCTATTGTTACTGTTACATTTTATTATTGTCTCATTTGGTAAATTCCCTTTTACTGTAAAGTGCTGCGGAATAAGCTGGCGCTATATAAATACCAATGATAATAATTGAATTCTGTTGATCTGGGAGAAAAGTAGATCCCATCTTTGTACCTCAGCATCCTTTAAGTAATAAGGACAATATCCTGGGAGCCTGAGCCTTCTACAAAATAAATTGTTTGCCATTAAAATACGACTAGTGCAAGACATCAGGGCATGAACAGTTTGTAGAGATTATTTTAGAGAATTTTTATGGTTCATATAGATGGATACATTTGCTCCCCAATATTATTGCTTCCAGTTTCTAGAGAGTAAAGTTTTTGAAAACAAAAGTGGCAGAGAAAAAATATGAGTCTCGGAATGAAGAGTTTAAGAGATTCTTTAAAAAGCTGGGATAGAGGAGAAAAGGCTAGACTGAGGTACAAGAAAGACAGCAAACAAGACAAGTATAAACTGAAAAAGTGGTTTGCTCCTAGATATCCCTGTACTGGAAAAACTTGCAAAGGGTTAGTCACTAAAGCCTGACTGCAAAATTCTGACATTGTTCAAATGAATCAAATGAACACAGTTACACCCAACTTTTCAACAGCTGATTTATGAGAAGACTAAAATAAAGTGATTTCTATTTGTGCCACAAAAGGGGAAAGTAGTTTCAGTGTGATGCTCTTCTCAGCCCCTCCCTAAGTTACATGGTTCTACTTATTTAAGTTGTACAAAGAAAGAGATAAAGTTAACTATCCATCCTACGGCTCAAAAGATAAGTTCAGTCATTAAAAAGGAGTCATTTTGGCTGCAACAAGATCAGTCTATTCAATTTAAATTTTTTGAAGAGGTAACAATGGGCAACAAAAAAATGAACACTTGATTATACTTTTTATTATTTACACATTTATTATTACTTTTCCAAGTAAATCCATCTATAGTAAAAGCTTGGCTATTTAAGTCTAAATTTGGCAGTTCTGATTTCAATCCACTGCTATCGGTATCTATTCAGTATATCAATTTGTGTATCTATGCTTTTAACATTCTTGTAGAATTGTCCTGTGTTCCTTCATGTTTTTAACATGACTGCATTTATTTCTGTCTTTGTGCCATCTCTCTCTGTGACATGTGTGCATGTTTATATTCATATCTGCCTCCTTGGCCTATGCATTTATGTGTGTATGCTTGTTCTTGTGTGTTAAGAGATAGAAAAACAGTCTCAGACAGGGGCCTGGAGTTTCAGCTCTGACTGTGAGTGGGTCATCCTTAGTGGTGAGATCAACAGACCTTCTTGCCCTTCCTTGCTCCCCAGCTCACCTTCCCCAGGACCACCAGTGATTCTGCAAATAATGGCCTCCACTGGACCACCAGGGATTACAATCACTAATGGCAAATTAAAAAATCCCCAAACACGTTAGGACACTACATACACAATACCCAGAAACACTCTGACTCCCCTACAGGCACACACAAACACTCACAGAAACAGCACCCGGGGCTCTTTGAGGGGGGCTAATATGGCATCCTGCCTTTGGTCCTGAGCAATAAAGCAACCTTTAATTTCGCTCTGATTAATCCTGAAATTTAATTATGTGTACATGTGTCAGTTTATATGTCAGTAAGGGTGTATGTCTGTGTTTGTGTACAGTGTTGGTATGTGTATGTCAGTATTCCAGTGTGTGCAGTTTGAGAACAAACCTAGGTCACTAGCCCCCATAAATAATGTAAAGTGCAATTATGAAGTGTAATTCCCATGATGTTCAGCCACCTTTAAAAGCTAACTTTGCAAGCATGGAGGGTGTGGCAATTGCCATGATGCTCAACCAGGCTTATGAGTAGGCTGAGCATAATGGGAATTGCATATCAGACAATTTTATAAACTACCCCATTTATCATTCCCTACCCCCAAGTCCTCTATTCCTACCTTTCACCTCCAGTTATCTATCCTTAGTCCCCAAGTTACTTATTCCTATCCCACTAATCCAGTTATCTATCTCTACTCCCCTTGGAGCCTCTCACTTGCTCTCCACAGTTATCTTTTCCTGATCCCAATTATCTTTCCCCAGCCAATCCCCCGTTGTTGCATCAAAGCCCACTCCACTTATATCTATCTCTGCTCTCAAGTTATCTCTTTCTCAATCTGTCATTGCTTTGTGTAGTGCTCTTTCTTCCTTCTCAGCCCAACCCCATGCCACTGTGAGGGAAGGGGTAGGGACTAAATATACCATCAAATCCTTGCCTCTCTAGAAGTTTATATCTCCTAATTTAGGGACACTAAAGTCACCAGAACAACTGCAGGTTAATGTAGTTGTTCTGGTGTCTATAACATGTACCTGCAGGCCTTTTAATGTAAACACTGCCTTTTTAGAGAAATGGAAGTGTTTACATTACTGCTTAGTAACACCTCTAATGGTGGTCACTCAGACAGCCATTAGAGATGTTACTAATCTAGGAAGCAAGTTAAAGGGGTAACTGTGGCAGGGTGAGTGTGACAGGGGGGTAAGGTTAAATGAGACAGGGTTGGGGTAAGAGTGTGACAGAATGAGGGAGAGTGAGAATGATAGGGTAGGGGATTGTAACATGGTTGGAGGAGGGGGTGTGACAGGACATGGGGAAGTAAGTGTGACAGAATTGGAGGAGGTTAATGTGACAGGCTGCGTGTGGCATTTGGGGGGGTGTACACTGGGTTGGGGTGAATGTGCCATGTTTGGAGGAGGCAGTGCAACAGAATGAGAGGAGGTGAGTGTGACAAGATTAAGGGGATTAATGTGGCAGGATTAGGTTAATGTGAAAGAGTGAGTGTGGCAGTTGGGGGTGGGGATGTGACAGGGTTTGGGGTGAGTGTGGCACAGCTGGAGGGCAGGATTGAAAGGGCTTATGTGGTAGGATGAGTGTGACAGGGTTGGGGACTGTGTGTGACAGTGCAAGAGAAGGTTGAGTCAGACAGGATTGGGGGGGTTAATGTGATAGGGTAATTGTGGTAAAGCAAGGGCAGGTGAGTTTGGTATGGTTGGAGGGGGTGAGAGTTGACAGGATTAGGAGTATTTAATGTGAGTGTGGCTGGGTGAAGGGGGTGACAGTGTGTGGGGGCTGAAAGTGTTTGGGAATGGTGATAGTGTATGTGTATGGGGTGACAGTGTGTGCGTGTGGGGGTGACAGGGTGTGAGGAGGGGGGCAGTGACAGGGTGTGTGTGTGTGGGGATGATAGGGTGTGGGTGGGGAATGACAGGGTGTGTGGAGGGGGGCTGTGACAGGATGTGTGTGTGTGTGGGGTAAAATGGTGTGTGTGTGTGGAAGGGTGACAGGGTGGGGAGCTGTCATCCCACAGCCAGTAATGGGGGCTGTGTCAGGGTGGGAAGAACTGTGACAGGGTAGGGGGGACTTTGACAGGGTAGGGGGGCTGTGACAAGATGTGTGGGTGGTTGTGACAGGGTGGCTGTGGGGGCTGGGACATGGTGGGGGGGCAGTAACATGGTACGGGGTGCTGTGAGGGGCAGTGACAGGCAGTATAGGGGCAGTGACAGGGAGTGGAGGAGCAGTGACGGTGGTTGGAGGTGGAGGAGCAGTGGAGCAGTGATGGGGTAGAGGGGCAGTGACAACGGTTAAGGGGGTGGAGGAGCAGTGACAGGAGGTGAAAGGGTGGAGGGGCAGTGACAGGGGGTAGGGGGTGAGGGGCAGTGACGGGGTTAGAGGGGCAGTGACAGGTAGTAAGTGGGTGGAGGAGCAGTGACAGGGGATACAGGGGTGGAGGGGCAGTGACAGGGAGTAGAAGGGGTGGAGGAGCAGTGACAGGGAGTTGAGTGTGGAGGGGTAGTGTCAGGGGGTAAGGTGTGGAGGAGCAGTGACAGTGTGTAGGGGGGGTGGAAGAGCAGTGACAAAGGGTAGGTGGGTGGAGGAGCAGTGACAAGGGGTAAAGGGGTGTGGAAGAGCAGTGACAAGTGGTAGGGGGGTGTGGAGGAGCAGTGACAGGGGGTAGGTGGTGAGGGGCAGTGACAGGGGTGGTCCTCACAATTAAAAAAACTTTACACTGATGGTAAATCTGGTTAATTTAAATGATATAATATACATGTTAACAATTTAATGTTAAAGGACCACTATAGTGCCAGGAAAACATACTCGTTTACCTGGCACTATAGTGCCCTGAGGGTGCCCCCACTCTCAGGGTCCCCCTCCCGTCAGGCTCTGGGGAGAGGAAGGGGTTAGACTTACCTCTTTCTGCAGCGCCGGGCGGGGAGCTCTCCTCCTCCTCTCCGCCTCCTCTCCGCCTCCTCTCCTCCTCTTCGGCTGAATGCGCATGCGCGGCAGTAGCTGCGTGCACCTTCAGCCAGTCTCATAGGAAAGCATTCATAATGCTTTTCTATGGACGCTTGCGTCTTCTCACTGCGATTTTCACAGTGAGAAGCACGCAAACGCCTCTAGCGGCTGTCAATGAGACAGCCACTAGAGGCTTTAGAGGCTGGATTAACCTATTTATAAACATAGCATATTCTGTGAAACTGCTATGTTTATAAAAAAAAAAAAAAAGGGTTAACCCTAGCTAGACCAGGCACCCAGACCACTTCATTAAGTTGAAGTGGTCTGGGTGCCTATAGTGGTCCTTTAAAATACATGAATGTTTTCATTTACCTTTAACAGAGCCACAGAATAGCTAGTAGTAGTAATGTTATATAC